ATATATCTCAAGAGTCAACCAGGTAAGGGGTGGCGCAAGTCTGTAATCCCAGCATTTGGGAGGCTGAGGCAGAAGGATCTTGAGATCGAGGCCAGCCTGGGCTACACAGTGAGTCCCTGTTTTAAAAAATCAAAACCAAAATAAAAGCAAGCAAAGAAACGAACACTACAAGCATTAGGAGTCTAAATGACACTCGGGACTTCCTGCCTGAGCCTCCTTCCTCGCGGTTCTTCTTCCCGCACTTCCTGAACACATGCGATACCTTCGGCCTGTGTCGGGCCAGGACTACAGACAGACAGAGGGAAGCCCTGCGCTGCCCTTCCCACACCACCGAGCGCCTGATGGAAGCTGGGCATTTGACACCTTCCACACAGAACCAGTACGAGGACTGTTAAACTCGGAAACTGGAATCTAGGATTTCTTTTTTTTGTTGTTTCAGGGTTTTTTTTTCCGGTACTGGGAATTGAACTCATGACCTTGCTCTTGCCAGGCAGGCGCTGTGCCGCTGAGCTAAATCCCCAGCCCTAGGATTTCTTTTTTTATGATTTATTTATTCTGGTCCTGGGTATTGAACCTAAGCCCTTTGCACTGAACGATGTCCTCAGTCATTTTTCTTTCACTGATTTTGAGGTGCTGGGGGTCGAACCCGGGGCTTTGCACCTGTAGGTAAGTGGTCTACCCCTCAGCTACATCCCCAGCCCTTTTTATTTTTTATTTTGCAAAGGGTCTCACTAATTTGCTCAAGCTGGCCTCAAATTTGAAGTCCTCCTGCCTCAGCCTCCCCAGTGCTGGGATTATAGGCGTGTGCCATCACGCCAGGGAAGTTGAGATTTCTGTGGTTGGATGAACACAAAAACTTTCCATAGCCATGAAACTGCCCGGATCACCAAGTCCACAGTGGTGATCTAGCCACACGTGGTTATGGAGCCCAAAATGCAGCCAGTTGAGGAGTTTAAATTTGTTGAGGGGTGCCATGGGGAGTGAGTGACTCAGGGGTAGTGTGAACGCAGGAAGGGCTGGGATCACCCTGGCCCACGTTAGTCACCAGGTCTCCAGGCCGCTGGAGGACTCAGGGTGCGGCCACGGGGTGCTCGGAAGACGCACAGGGTCCTACGGGAGCCGCTGCATCCTCCTCGGCCTCAACGTCTGGGCATCCGGCGGCTCAACGCACTTGCAGTGCTCTCTTCTGTCACTAGGTGGCGCCTGAGCCCAGTTGATGCCCTCCGGGAGCCCCAAGGGCAAGGCCTTCCTTGCTAGGCTCCCCAGGAAAGTCCTCCGGTTGATGCACAGATTTTGAAAGAACAGCGCTACCACACCAGTAAGCCCAGCTCTCTGGGAGGCTGAGGCGGGAGGGTTGCAAGCATGAGCTCAGCTTGCGTAATTTAGGGACACTGTCTCAAAATTTTAAAAAGACCGTTAAAAAGGTCTCAAGATGTACTCAGTACAGGGACTGGGGATTTAGCTCAGTGGCAAAGCGCCTGCCTGGCAAGCGCAAGGTCGTGAGTTTGGTTTCCGGTACTGGAAAAAAAAAAAAAAAAATGTACTCAATACAAAGGCCTGAGTTCAATCCTCAGTACTGCCAAAAAAAAAATAGAAAGAAAAAGAAAGAAGAAAGCATAAAATATTCACTATGACAAGGCACAGACCAAAGCAGGGCAGCACGCACGGATCCGTGATGTGAACGCCGGAAGTGTGTGTGTCCCAGAGGCAGCGGGAGCCGCGGGCTGGTGGACACGGCTGGCGGCGCGGCGGGCGGAGACTAGGGCAAGGCTGGAGGGGCCACCGCCCACTAAGCAGGTGTCTGCGTGTCCTGAGACCACGATGCCAGGCACCGCGACTGAGCCCCGCCAGATGTGCACTGGGTGAAACAGAGGACTTTTCCTTTCGGTTGGGCAGAGGGTGCAGTACCAGGTTAATAACCCTTAGTTACTGTGGACCGACCAGGCCCGCAGCCTCCCAAAGGCGAGGCTTAAGTAAGTGAGCCAAGTGGTAGGACTTTAGGGCTTCAGGAGGGTCCAGCCCTCTCAGAAGGGTTAAGACCAAGACTTCTTTGGGCAGCTGTGTTTATTTGGTTTTCAAAGGAGGGGACTACTGAAAACGCAGGAATCTGGGCAGGACTTGGCAAGCCCTTTAAGGACCTCTCCAGGTAACACCTTATGCTAATTCAGAAGAACTGTGTTATCTCCAGGAAGGCCTTCACCGCAGGGGTGAGGTGCCTGCAGCTGCAGTCTCCTTGTAGTTAACTGGGGTTGGAGCCAAAGTCCTCGGCTCCGGTCTTGTCCTTCGAGGCGTCACAGCCTCACAGGCCAATACAGGCCTCAGGGTGACCAGTGACCCACAGAGCCCACTCACTCTGAGTCCACTGCCCACCCCCGGACAAGGGCCTGGGCACTGACAACTCACACGAAACATGAAAGGCCAGTTGGTTAAACCCCTGGACAAGGGCCTGGGCACTGACAACTCACACGAAACATGAAAGGCCAGTTGGTTAATACTAAACCCTGCTCAGAGCGGCTTCACAGTGGTCTCCGTCCGTGCGGCTCCGTGGATGAGCACTTGCCGTGTTCACTCCCCCAAAACAAGACGACCTCTGAGCACCAAGAACTCTATGCACTGTCACAAAGAACCACGTGGTTAGGACGCACTGAGCCACAGAAAGCCACGAGAAAAAGAAAAACCACAGCTGACTGCAGTTCCGCCTTTGATTTCAGCGTTCCCTGTCCTGCGTCCCGAGGCCGCCACCCATGGGAGCCTCCAGAAGGCCTGTGCGCTTCTTACCTGGTCAGTATAGGTGACGCCTCGGAGGCAAGGGGGCCTGCGTCACAGGAGGTCAACAGGGCTGGGAGAGGGACCCCCACACGCTCCACCCTCCGCGCCCGGGCCCTTCCGAGCTCCAACAGTGCCTCTTCTACACCCTCTCGTGAACGCACTGTGCCCCCAGGGACCCCTGCTCACCTAGGACCAAAGTTTGTGTGGACATCCGGCTTCCCAAGGCTGGGCGGTTCTCCGCCAGGATGAAAGGTGGTCCTTCAGAACATGGTAATAGGAGCTGTGAAGAAGAGACTCACCGCGACGTGTTTTAATATAAATATTTTATTTCTGTAGCATACAAAAGGTATAAACACGATTTCTGTAAAAGCAATCACCCGCACTCAAGCAGAGTACTTGGCAGTGGGGCTGTGGCTTTCTGGGCCAGAGGACAGGATGAGACGGAGTTGTCCTGGAGGTCCCCAGTCCCTGTGACACCCTGCGGCTGGAGAGGAGGCGGCCTTGTTTCACCAGGCGGCCTGTGAGCTCACTGGGACAATGGGCGCAGAGGCGGACAGGCTTCAGGGCACTTAGAAATGAGGCACTTGATGGGAAGCTTGCCTGCGCTGGAAACCAATCCCGTCAGCACGCGCGGGCCCACACAGCAGAGCCGTCTCGTCCGGGACCTCTGGCCTTCCTGTGGCCATCTCATGTGCAGCAAGGAGCCAGGGCAGCCGGGACAAGGGAAGGCCAAAGAGCGGAATCGCCCCGGGGCACTGACCCTCATCCCAGGCTGGCGGACGCTCTGGGCGCCCAGGCTCGGGAGCCGGGCCACGCTGCGCGCACAGCTGCTTTTGGATTCTTGAGTCTGGATTCGAGCAGGGCCAGTGAACTGGAAGAGCGTCCGTTTGCTGGGAGGTGTGCATCCTCGGGAAGGCCGAGCAGGCGTCTTGGGATGTGCGGCGCCCCAGGAGCACCGTCCACACTGACGGCCAGCCTCGGGGACCCGGAAACAAGGCGAGGGCCCGGGCTCTGCCCAAGGGAGGCCTGCAGAGTGCAGGTCAGCCGCCTGGCCCCCCAGCCGCGCCTGCACCTCTCTGACAAGGACACCACGCAGGGCCCGTATGTGGTGCTCCCTCACCCACCCCAACACCTGCAGGTGAGTGCGGGGAGCACAGCGGGCTCAGAGTAAAGGCGGCTATCGAAGGATTCCGTCCTCCCTGGACGGCCCTTTGCGGAGATGGACACAATCAGAGCCAGTTCTGCCAGAGCCCATCGCAGATCCAGCCGCACACCCTGTGGTGGAGACGGGCACCCGCCGACCTGGGGGGGGAGAGGGCGCCTGGCGACCAGGAGGGAAGAGGGGCCTGTGGGAAGGAGAGGCCCGGGAGGCCGAGCGTGCGCCCGGGTTCTTTTCAGGCAGTAAACTGCGGACGCCGCCCTCTCCCGTGAGGAAGCTCGGCAGGACAGCAGCAAGGTCACCTGTGTGGACACACAGTACCACGGAGTCTGGGTTCGCTCAGTGCTGATGGGAGACGGCACTCTAGAGCCCGTTTCCCGAAGCACAGCCACGTGGATGCTGCTGAGGACCATCTGCAGGGCCTGGGCCCGGACTGCGCCACGTTCTCACGGCCCTGACTGCAGCCCACTCCGGGAGATGCTCGCGCCATGGAGCCCGAGGACAGCCCCGGAGCAGGGCGCGGTCGGCAGCGGCTCGGCCTCTTCTGCGTACGTCAAGTCTGCTGGGACACTGCCACATCCTTCGTGTGGGTTATCTGCAGCTGCTTTGGATCCGAGTGGCTGTGGGGGACTAGCAGGACTTTTGTAGAGAGAGTGCATGCTTTTTCCTGCAGGCTAAAGGCAATTTAGAGCACTGTCTCTCTTTGAAAAGAGATCTAGAAGCCAGAGACTGGGGTGTATACCTATAATCCCTGCACTCAGGAGGCTGAGGCAGGAGGATCACAAATTGAAGGCCAGCCTGGGCTACATAGTGAGACCCATGTCTCAAAAAAAAAAAAGAAGAAAAAAAAAAAAACCTGTGAGAGCCTGATCTGATTCTTCAGGCCGTGAGTTTCGGAGCGCAGAAAACCTTTTTCAGGAGAGACCAACTGCAGGACAGTGACCCGGGAGTCCCCGCTGCCCTGAGCAGTGGCTCTGGCTGGAACAGCTCACTCAGAAAGTTGTGCCCTGACTGAGTCTGTCCAGCCCAGAGAAGGGCCGTGTGCATGCTGCGTGGACAGACACACCTGAGCACACATCTGCGCACACACACTATACACATACATGTGCTCAGGGGCCACCAGAAGGGGCACACTTTTCTTTTTGGTACCGGAAAGCGAACTCAGGTCCTTGCACTTGCCAGGCCTGTGCCGCTGAGCTGCATCCCGGCCCACGGGGCAGACTTCTGCCCCGGGAGCTCTGTGTGAGGAGGCTCCCCGCGCCCCGCTCATTCGCACGCCAGCTTGCTGTCGAAGCTGGAGAGCCCGATGGCGAAGGCCTGCAGCGCGCACAGCGGGTAGTTGTAGTCCAGGGTGAACACGTCGTCCGCCACACGCCCGAACTGCATGACAATGTAATCAGCTAGAAGCAGAAAGCAAGGGGATGTTACAAGGTGACACAGGCAGGCCCGGCGTGCACTGCACGCCCGTACGGCAGGCACATGGGAGGCTGAAGCAGGAGGATCGCAAGTTTGAGCCCAGCCTGAGAAATTTAGTGAGACCCTCAAAATAAAAATAAAAACAGGGTTCAGGTGTAGCTCAGTGTGAAGATCCATGGTTCAGTCCCAGGTATGGAAAAAAAACCCATGACTGTATTGGGGGAAAATCTCTGCTCAGAACCCTAAGCTGGTCGGTCAGTCACCAGTGCCCTTTAACTGAGAGTGGGGGCTGGACAGTGATGTCACACGGTGGGGGGACAGTGATGTCACACACACGCACAGTGTGCGTGAAGCCCCAGCTTCCACCCCAGCACAAAGGCGGGGTTTCCCCATGCAGTTCAGGACGGTCTTGAATTCAGGTGATGCCCCCCGCTTCCACCTTCCAAATACTGGGATTACAGGAGTGCACCACCATGTCCCTCTCTGGGCTTCTAAAAAAATCAAAAGGGCTGAGGATGTAGCTCACCGTGAAGACCCTGGTACAATGCCCAAGGCTATTTTTTTATGGTCTTTTTAAGACAGGGTCTCGCTATGCAGTTCAGGCTGGCCTTGAGCTCACTTTGTAGCCCAGGCTGGTCTTGAACTTGCAACGATCCTCCTGCCTCAGCCTCCCCAGTGCTGGGATTACAGGTGTTAGCCACCACGTACGGCCTTCCCAGTGCTATTTTTAAAAAAAGGACAGGAAGAGGCAAGGAGTGTCTGCTCATCACAAGCAAAGTTTGTGCGTGAACTGCTCTCACCTGCAAAGACTGAGCGACTACCCTGAGTAGCACGGAGGGCAGGCGAGGGCAGAACACGCCCGGTGAGCCAGGGTCACGAGCAGCTTCCCGGGTCTCCTGCGCCCATATCGAAGCCCACCCAAGCCTCCCTGTAGCTCCTCTTCCCCTGCAGCACGGCGGAGGACATCTCCTCCAACGCTGCCCTTCTGTCTTCGCAGAGACCCCTTCCTCCTGAGGGCTCACCCCTGCACCGGTGGGGCCCCTCCCGTCCCGCGGCCGCCCCGGCGTACGGTCGTTATCGTGCACGATCTGGAAGTTCTTCACGGACGCCTGGGTGACCCGGCCGTGGAAGTTCAGCACGTAGGACTGCGTGTCGTCGTTCCACACCGGGGCCTTGTTGTGCAGCTCGATCAGGTTCTCCATGGCTCTGCGCTGCCACTTGCAAAGCAAGCTCTCGTGGTCCTGCGGGGAGGACACTCCGGATGGAGGACGGCAGGGCCGGGGCTGCTCTCAGTTCTCCAGGTAAAAAGCACAGCAGGGAAACGCTTATGTTTCAGAAAGGGCAAAACAGGAGTGAAGGACAGCGCCAGCAGGACCCCAGCCTTTCCCTCTCCTCACTATACGCTGGCCAGCGTGCCTCTCTGCAGCCTTCGGGATGGTTTCTGACCCCTGACCTCAGCAAGGCCCCAGAGCTGCCCGGTCCCCAGGCTGTGAGCAGCGGTCCCAGGGCCGAGCCTGGCGCTGCTGTGCGTCTGGAGGGGCGGCGCTGCCGCAGTGGTTTCTTCTACCTGCGCTGCGGCGCTCACAGGCCCCTGCTGGTCAAATGTGCTCTTACTTACATTTCGCGGCTGAAACGGGATCCGTCCATGATTCATATTCATCCCCGGAATAATCACAGACATTTTCCTAGGCCCTTTAAATCCCAGCACATTTGTTTCCTGGGGGACAGGAAAACAAGGCAGAATTTGGAAACACGGGAAAAGGAGAGCAGTTCTGTGCTGATACAAGACTTCCTAAGCATGTCAAATGCTGGCAATGTCAACGGCACCGAGACTGATTTCATTACTTTGCTGCGGTTAAAAAAATAACACAAAACTGAGAATCAAAAATAGAAAGCCTGGCCCAGTGGTACCTGTAGTCCCAACTGCTCAGAGGCTGAGCCAGGAGAAGTGTGAATGTAGGTGTTTGAGACCAGCCTCAACACACAGTGAGACCCTCAAAAGGAAGAACCCAGGAAAGTCTTTCTTTTCTTTCTGTCTGTCTGTCTTTTTGGTTTTTGAGACAGGGTCTTGCTGTGCAGTTTAGGCTGCCCCTGAACTAGCCATATATCCCAAGCTGGCCTCAAACTTATGGCAATCCGCCTGCCTCAGCCTCCCCAGTGTTGGGATTACAAGCATGCACCACCATGCTTGGCCAGAAAAGTATTTCTGTACTTTAAAAAAATGTGGTACTGGAGTGAACCCACAGCCATCTTGCTGAGTTACATTCCCCACCCCCACCCCCACCCCAAGCTGGAACTCACAATGCCCCCGCCTCACCCTCCTGGATGCTGGGACTATAGATGCACAACACTGTACTCGGTTGGAGTTTGGAACTTCTTTTTCAAAAACATTAAACACTTATTATTTTTTTTTCCGGTACCAGGAATTGAACTCACGACCTTGAGCTTGCCAGGCAGGCGCTATGCCGCTGAGCTAAATTAAACACTTATATTTGAAACAGGTTAAATTACGCTGACACTTCACTTTTAGGCTTTAGCAGAACTTTTTTGGTTTTGGTTTTTTGAGACAGGGTCTCACTATGTAGTTCAAGCTGGCCTTGAACTTACTACTTAGTCATGGGGATCCTCCTGCGTTAGCCTGCCGAGTGTTAGGATTACAGGCATGTGCAGTCACACCTGGCCAGACTTTCTTCTGTATGCACTGGGTATGCATGTCTGTACGTTTGTATGTGGTGGTACTAGGATTGAACCCGGAGCCCTTGCACTGAGCTACATTCCCAACCCTTTATTTTAATTTTTATTTTTGAGACAGGGTCTAGTTAAATCTCTAAATTGCCCAGGTTGGGCTTGAACTTGTGATCCTCCTGCCTCAGTCTCCCAGAATGCAAGGATCACAGCCCTGGACCGTCTCAATGGGCAGTCATTAGGAGTCAAGTGCCCTCCGCGACGCTTGTGCAATGACGAAACTGCAAGGGGTACACCACCCACCCCTGCTCAAGGCGTGGTCGCTAAGGATCCAGAGCAGAGACCCCAGGTCAGCACAGCGCTGACCGAGAAAGGGGTACTGGCAGCCACACAGAATGAACCACGAGGAGCAGAGCAGGGTGGGTGCTGCCTGCACCGGCAGCCCCGGCTACTCGGGGGGCTGGGACCAGCATCCCCGGAGCCCAGGAGCTCAAGGCCGGCCCAGTGATGCAGCAAGACCCGGTCTGAAGGAGGTGATGGTCAGGAGGAGGACAGCAAGGAAGCGGGGAGGGAGGGGAAAGAGAGAGAGAGCAAAGACAAAAGGGGAGGGGGGGAGGAGGAGGGAGGAGGAGGGAGGAAGGAATAAAGGCACAAGGGTCGGTTTTAGTTGACTGTAACCTCCGGTCAATGGATAAGAGGTAGGGAAGGCCCAAATTAAGTGACAACAAAAACAAAAGAGCAGCTAAGGCCAGAAATAACACAGACCTGAAACACAGCTGCCCGTGGCGATTCACACAGAATGCGCACGTGAGGGTATGGAGAAACGACAGCCGCGACCGAGGGGCCACAGACAGCGCGCTTGGGAAGGGAGCGCGGGACGGCACTCACGTAGCAGATGGCAGCCAGCTCCTGCCGGGTGTGGGTCTTCTCCACCAGACCCTGGGCCTTCAGCGGGCTGACGCCGTGGTCGTACACCGTGAACTTGGTCCCCATCAGGTTGGACCTAGCGCCAGGAGACAAGGTCACCATGACGAGGTGCGCGTCCCGTCAGGGAGGGCAAGGACGGCCGTCTGCCTGCCTCAGCGCCTGCGCGGTTGGGGCCGCTTCTTCAAAGACCTCTCGTGGCAATAGGAGGGGGCTTGGGTTTTGCTTTCTTTCTTTTTCTGTTTTTGATTATCCCATCTCCACATGCTAATTGTAGAAAAGATACGGGTTATTCTGCAACGGAGGGACGAGCCCTGCCGGAAGGAGCAGGACAAGGCGAGCGGCTGCGCTTACCTGAGCTTGCCAACGTAGCTTTCCCCCTCGCGAGATAGATCCGTTGGGTCGGTGGAGATCAGGTAGTTGGATGTTTTGCTCTTCTTCCGCTTTCTGCCTGCAAGAAGAAAGACCTAGGGGGAAAAAGGATCAGTCAAAAAAATGAAGTGAAGTGAACGCCCCTGGTTCTAGCTATTCACGCAGCAAGCGTTCAGCAAACGTCTCCCATCGGTGCGGGGTCTGCGTCCCTGGTCCGGCCCTCCCAATGCTGCGCCAGTCCCCACGGCGCTTGCGCAGTGAGGCCCTGGGGCGGGCGCCGGCGTGGGTGCGCTGGGCTGGGGTTTCCTACCAGTCTCCGCTCTGCGCAGTTTCCCTAAACTCACTACTTTGGTTCTCTATATGACGACAGCGGCCCCTCAAGTTATGACCCGCCCCTACACCCGAACAACGGGTTACAACCAGGGAAAGCAGGTTTAACTTACAACCAAAGTGCTGGGTTAGGACCTGGAAGACCCTAGGCCAATTTTTAGTTCTGAAAAGGTTGGGACCTGGTGAGCCAGAAGCAGGTGGGCTACAGCCTGTCCCCAGGAGAGAAAGGACCCCAGAGAGCCGGATTCCTGATGTTCTATGGAAGGGGCCTCTCCTCCGGAACAACGCCCACCTTCCACTCCATCCTCCCTCCCTGCGAGCCAAATGTGTCAACTTGAACGGCGAGTGCAGTGTGCAATTGTTGTTTCTGGTAAACTAGGCACATTTTATAACTCTTTGGTGAATACTAGGAGAATTATTGGTGTTTCTGGTGAATTACACACGTTATACAACCAATTTTTATGAAAAGGTCAGTCAGGCTGGGAGGCGTGTGGGCGCACGCCTGTAATCCCAGCACTCAGGAGGCTGGCAAGTGGATTGCTGTGAGTTCGAGGCCAGCCTGGGTTACATGGTGAGCTCAAGGCCAGCCTCAAGTACACAGCAAGACCCTGTCTCAAAAAAAAAAAAAAAAAAAAAAAAAAAAGCTAAGGGGTGCTTTGGGAGGTTCAGAATGCATTATGGGTATTTCCATTATTTCTAATGGGAAAAATAGTCTTGACTTACAACCAATTTGAGTTACAACCGGCCCTCAAGAACAAAATTGAATTCATAAATCAAGGGCTCACTGTATTTACAACTTTATCCTACCGCTTCTTGTGTCTTCTAAACAAATAATCTTCATCCAATGCCATAAATGAAAGTTCTTCCAAGCCAGGTGTGGTGGTATACACAGGTAATTTCAGCATTCTGAGGGGCTGGGGCAGGAGGATTAAGTTGGAGCCTAGGCCTAGGTGTATAGCTCAGTGCCAAGGACCTGGGTTCAATATCCATTATCACAAACAACAACAACAACATCCAAATGGGCACACCTGTAATCCCAGCACCGTGGAGGCTGAGGTAGGAGAGCCACAAGTTTGAGTCCTATGTGAACAACTTCACAAGACTGTCTCAAAATGAAAAATAGCCAGGCATGATGGCCCACTGAAATACCAGCACTTGGGAGGCTGAGGCAGGATCGTGGTGAGGCCAGCCTCTGAGTGAGGTCAGCCTAAACTATGCAGTGATACTTGTCTCAAAAAATAAAAAACAATAAAAAAATAAAAAGGGCTAAGGACATAGTTCAGGTCCTCAGTACTGGAAAAAAGGTCTCTCTTTAAATTGAGGAAGACACCAGGTGTGGTGGCGCACGTCTGTAATCCCAGCACTCAGGAGGCCGAGGCAGGAGGATTGGTGCGAGTTCAAGGCCAGCATGGGCTACAAAGTGAGCTGAAGGCCAGCCTGAACTGCACAGTGAGACCCTGTCTCAAAAAGACAAATAAAACAAAAAACAAAAAACCCAGGGATATAGTTCTGTGGTACAGCGCCTGCCTGGCAAGCACAAGGTTGTGAGTTTGAGTTCTGGTACCAAAAAAAAAACCAAAAATGACAAAAAACATCCTTAAATTGAGGAAGGACCTTGTCCCTCTTCCCGCTGCCCCTCGTTGTACCTTGTTGGTCTGGACCTAGTGATGTCAGGGGTCTGAGTACTGTCGAATTTATGTGCCCTCGCTGGACCCCGCTAGAGTGGGACAATCCTAGGGAAGCGCGAATGGCAGTGCCTGAGAATGAGGACTCGGATCACAGAGGTGGGCCTGAGCCTGGCTCCGCCACTTACCAGTGCAACCGTAGACAGGTCAGTCACTCCCCAAGCCCTGTTCCCTCATCTATAAAGCAGAGACGAGAAACCCTACATAGTGAGGTTGTGGTAAGAACTGCAGGTGAGAATACACATAACTATCTAGTGCATGCCTCGTATTTGGAAACAGTCAATAAATAGTAGTTATAACAACAACAATGCCTGCTATCATTATCGCATCATTAGGCTCTTAAAGTAAACCCCTTAGTCCTGGTATTAGCATAAAGTGGATTATTTATTTATTTTCTGTCCTTTTGAGACAGGGTTTCACTATGCAGTTCAGGCTGGCTTCAAACTCACAGCGATCCTCCTGCCTCAGCCTCCTGAATGCTGGAATTACAGGCGTGTGCCACCACACCTGGCTTGAAATGGATTTTTTTATTAGGAAGGATTAAATGGTCTTGAACCTATAAATTAGAATTCCTAGGAGGAAAAGTATTTATTTTTTAAAACAGCTTCTGTATTTCATATTTAACACGACCTTCTGTATTTCCAGTTTCTTATATAACTTAAAACCTGCTCTCCTTCCATGGTGCCATTTTCAACGACAATGAAAAGAAAAACTGATCCTTCAGTTCATGAGTGTGAGGATTGGGCGTCCATGCCATCTGCATGAGATGTGCCTCCCTCAAACCTTGTTATGACGTTGGCACATTACCTGTCTGATGTGAAGAAAAAAAAAAAAAAAAAAGAAAAACCAAGGACAGAAACACCCTAAATAGCCAATGGGAAGAAGGCAGGAACACAACACTAACATACCCTCTGGAGCTGGGGAGATAACTCAGCTGAGAACACCTGCCCGACATGCCCAAGGCTGTGTCTGACCCCAGGAGTAATTCTGCTCTATTTTCTTAATTCACAGATAGAGACAGTTCTCTTGGGGTGGTGGCTACGGAGGGAAGGCAGAGCTTGTCTGCTGGACTACGCGCACTCTGAAGATACTGGGAACACGGAATCACAGGGGTAACAGGGCCAGCCACCTCAGGCACAGCTCCCTCTCGGGAGGCTGCCGGCGTCTCCCACAACAGACTTCTCTCAAGAGCAGCCCAGAGGACGGGGAGCAGCTCAGCGGCAGAGCACGCATCTAGTCCGCTGGAGGCATGGGTCAGTCTCCAGCTGGGGAGAAGGAAAAGAGAAAGGGAGGGAGGGCCAGGTGTGGCGCCTCAGCCTTAAAGGATTGTGAGTCTGAGCCAAGCTTGGGCAGTTTAGCAATCTAGCTGGACTCTGCCTCAGAAAAAAAAAAAGGTGAAGAATGAATTCTCATACCTTCCGATTGTCATCCTTTTCCAAGTGCATAAAGTACGTGGGGAAGAGACCCCGGTCCATTCCTTTCTTGTCCCTGGTTATCCGGCACCTCACTGTGACACCGCGGGGGGCAGGGCTGTACGCAAAGTCCTCCAGGTTCTCCAGCTCTCCCAGCTGCGCGTCGAGCTGTGGGGCTGCGGTGCCCGCAGCGCCTGTGGTCTGAAAGCACAGCCAGGCAGGGACAGGAGGCGGGTCAGACACTTCTGTGCTCCTCACAAAACAAAGCTTGCTGATTTACCTCAGTGTCTGGGCTTGACAGAATAAGGCGTTCTACTCGTCAGATGACAAGGATATGAACCGTGGGAAGGGAGAGAAGTTTAGTACAAATATGGGATAAAGACAGCCTTAAAATAGCTGACCTGCTGGGCGTGGTGGTGCACGCCTGGAATACCAGCACACAAGAGGCTGAGGCAAGAGAACTGCTGTGAGTTTGAGACCAGCCTGGCCCACAGAAATGAATTCAAAGTCAGCCTGAACTACACAGTGAGATCCTGCCTCAAAAAAAAAAAAAAAAAAAAATCCACACACCCCCAAAAAGAAAAAAAATAGCTGACTTGAGACAGAAATTCTAGAGGTCTAAATGTGGGCATAGATCTTTCGAAGGAACCTCATTCTGTGGTTGTGTCTAAACACCGGTGATGTGTTAGGGAAAGAGTCAAGTTAGCACCAAAGGAAAATGTGAGAACTACACACTGTGGTTGATCTCTGGCTGGACGCAGAACCAGGCCTCTCCATTTCTAAGTAAGGTGCCTGGGAATTTAGTCTTTTTTCTTCTTCTTCATCATCAGTCTCCTCCTCATCGAAGTTCAAACTGCCTGAGATACCTGCAGAAACGGAGCACAGTCAGCAACCGCCAACACTGCTTTCAGAAACCTTTGAAACAAAGCTTTGACCTTCTTGCTTAAAACACTCCGTCGGAGGGGACCGTCAGTGATAGAGTGCCTGCCTGGTGTGCGTGAGGCCCTGCGTCAGAGTTGAGCACGGGCAGCGTGTGTGTGTGTGTGTGTGTGTGTGTGTGTGTGTCCCTCTAACTATTCTGACCCAAAACAGGTATCTTGCCCAAAATTGGACAATTCTCCATATTTTCACATTGACCTCTTGTGTTCCCACGCACTAATGCCACCCTAACTGCTGAGGGCGAAGCTGTCTGTACCTTGGGTACCTCGGACAAGGCCACTGCTTCTCACGACTTTGGAAGAGCCCCGTAAGAAGTGTGCACAGCTCAGGGAGCTGACGCATGTAGTCACTTGACCCTCACCTGAGATAACACAGACAGTTTTCTCTTGTTCCCCGTAAGGCCACCAAGGCATGCTGTTCTGCTACAGGTAAGATATTCTTCCTGTCCCAGATCCTACACTCCCCTCAAACTCTCTGCAAACTTATTCTTTTTTTTTGTTTTGTTTTTTTTCTGGTACCAGGAATTGAACTCACGACCTCGTGCTTGCCAGGCAGGCGCTGTGCCCCTGAGCTAAATCCCCAGTCCCTCTGCAAACTTATTCAAACGCTGACTGTATAAATAAACAGTGCAGGTGCTGGGCAGTTCCTTTCTCCCGACAGGAGAGAGGGCTCCGCCTGACCTCAGCTTTTGTATATTGACTCCTGTCTTCTTCATCCTCCACTGTCCTCCCTCTGGAGTTTCAAGAGCTGTGCTGGACGCAGCTAATTTATTTTATATTTTTTTTTAGTTTTTTGAGACAGGGTCTCACTATGCAGTTCAGACTGGCCTTGAACTCACTATGTAGCCCAGGGTGGCCTTGAACTCATAGATAGTCCTCCTGCTTCAGCCTCTCAAGTACTGGGATCATAGGTGTGTCTCACCACACCCAGCTACCACCCTAATTAAGCTCTTTAAAATTTTTGTTTCTTTGTTTGTTTTCCGGTACTGGGAATTGAACTCACGACCTCGCGCTTGCCAGGCAGGCCCTGTGCCGCTGAGCTAAATCCCCAGCCCCCACTTTAAAATATTGAACTAGGGGCTGGGGATTTAGCTCAGCGGCACAGCACCTGCCTGGCAAGCGCAAGGTCGTGAGTTCGGTTCCTGATACCGGAGAAAAACCAAAACCAAAAAATAAAATAAAATAAAATATTGAACTAGCCAGGTGTGATGGTGCACACCTGTAATCTCAGCACTTAGGAGGCTGAGGCAGGAAGGTCACCCCAAGCTGGAAGCTGGCCTGCTATATAGTGAGTTCAAGGCCATCCTGAACTGCATATCAAGACCCTGTCTCCCGGGGGGAAAAAAAAAAAAAAAAAAAAAGACGGTATAACATTTTTTTGGTAAGAAAAAGTCAAGATCCAACTATCATGGCTGATATGGCTGTCTTCACTTTGTGCTCATTTCAAATGCCAGTTTTACACCAAAAACTCAATTTCTGTGACTGTATCTTAAGACAGAGATCAAATATTTTGTTCAAATATTTAAGGCAACCAAACTGGACCCACTTAAGGGACATAATCTGCCAAACTGACACTTCTAACATAGAGCTTAATCGAAGAGTTCTTCATGGGTCTCAGTCAAGATGCAAGCCGCTGAAACTTTCAGAGCATTCACTCATCATGCACTGAGTGGTCCATGCCAGGAAAGAACACAGCAGTCATTTCACAGAGCCGGGTGGAAGCCAGCAACCAGGCACTTACAGTCCGGGAGAAAGAACCAGACCAGGGATCAGAAGATCTAGTTGGCTAGATGATTCAGGGTAACTAATTTTAGCTCTTGGTTAAATACAAAGTCCTCTGTTCTGGTGCTTGTCCATTAAACTGTGTCCTTTGCTTTCTTTTGTTGTAAAAATAGTGGTAGTGAAGTCAATAGGGAAGTGTCTTAGTTACTTTCCTCACTGCTGAGACACAGTACCCAACGCCCACCAGCTAAAGGAGGAGGGGGTTATTCTGGCTCACAGTGTGTAGATGTCTCAGCCCACGGCTGGCTCCAAGGCAGGGTGGCCTCGTACAGGGAAGACATCCATGGCGTGGCAGGCTGCAGGCAGCGAAGCAGCAGCAGCAACAGCAGCCGGTTTCCTTCCCTTTTATGACATCCAGCCTATAAGCCCACTGAGTGGTGCCCCCCACACCCAGGGGGGCAGGTTCCCATCATCCAAACCCAGAACTATGCTAAACCAGTCAGTGGACTAATTTAGCACAACACACCCTTAATCTCAGTATCACATGCCCCAGAACCAGCCAGCTCTGAAAAGCTCCCCCTAGGAGCACGTGAGGCTTTGGGAGAAGTCTAGAGACAAGCCATAACAGGAAGGAAGTACCATGATCACCTTCACATTATAGACAGGAAAACTGAGGCTGAGGCAAGCATGTTCGTTCCCCACTCACAGCCACAAGTGGCAGAGATGAGAGTCACAACCACCAAGCTGGCTCCAAAGCTATGCTTTACTTGGTCCATGTCACAAGCCTTAGCCACAGGGGGGGAGGCTCTCTGTTCCCCATCCCAACTGACCATGCATCTTGTTTTCCACATCTTCGCGTCTTTGTGCATGCTATTTCTTCCGGTGAAACTTGCACCTAACCAGCAGTGTGACACAGGGCAAGTTATTTAGCCTCTCTAAGAATTAATTGGTTTATACATAAAAAGGAGAGATAAAAATCTGACATCAGTATTAGGATGCTGCGCTCCCTCCCTCCCTCCCTCCCTCCCTTTATGTGCTGGGTTCTGAATCCAGGGCCTCCAGCATGCTAACTATGTGCTTTATCACTGCACTAGGCACTTAGTCCCAGAAGTGTATCAGAAGATTGAGCAGCAACACTGGGAATGTCAGGGTCTGGCCACTTCCCAGCTGACACCGGCACACAGGCACATACGCATCCTTCTTGGCTCAGCTTAATCACTGTTAAGGCTTGTATGTAGATGTCCCCCCAAAGCCTCATGCCCTCCTAGGTGGGGCCTTCTGGAGCTGGCTGGATTATGGATGTGGGATGCTGGGAATAAGGATGTATGGTACTAAATTAGCCCACTGCTTGGAATTAGCACAGTTCTTGGTGGCACCACCCAAAAGGCTGGCTGCCCAGATGGGATACAAGGGAAAGGCAGACTCCCTGCTTGCTGCTTTGCTGCCTTCTGCCTGCCCTGCCATGGACTGTTTCTCCTCTGTCGTGCTGCCCTGCCTTGGGGCCAGCCGACTATGGACTGAAACCTCTACAAACAGTGAGCTCAATAAAGCTTTTCTCCCTTATCCTTGGGTGTCGCATATTTTGTCCCAGCAAAGAGAAACACAAGTGAACAGTCACCATCTCTTGATACCTTTCTTATCCCCCTATCCCCTGGTAGAGTAATTCTCTTTCTCCCCTGCTTTTCCTTCTTACATACACCACATTCTGACTCGGGAGTTGAGCCGTCAGTCAAACTATCCCCTCACTGGCTTTCCTGCCTCCCACCTTGACTCCTCCCCATTCATTCTTCATGGTACAGAGCAATTTTCTCTATCATATTAATTCAATTTTTTGGTGCTGGGACTGGAACCCAGGGCCCCCAGCCCTGTGCAGAGTAATTTTCCTACAGCCCAAATGTGGTCACACATTGGGCTGTAGGAAACCCCTCCGAGGTTCTCTCCTGTTTTAGACAAGCTCTACCGTCCTGCCCCATGGCCTGGTGGGTTTGAGGTCACTTCCTATCTAGGCATATCTCACCTGTCACCCCCTACTCTGTGTTACTGCTGTTCTGAACAGACAGGTCCTCACCTGTCAAACCCCTGCTCAGGCATCACTCTCTCGTGAGGCACCCTCTCAGGGCTCTCCTGGCACCTTGATTTTCTACCTACATTCTACGTAAGAACAAGAAGCTTCAATTAAAATAAGTGCTCCAGGCTCTCCGCTTCCTGGCTGCCCTGAGGTGAGCAGCTTTCTTCTGCTTACAACCTTCCAACCTGCCTTGGAGCAGGACAACTAGGGACCAAGACCTCTACAGACTGCGAGCCAAAGTACAATGGTCTTCCCTGAAGCTGTGGGCCTTGGGCATTTTGTCTCAGCAATGTGGGAAGTAACCAAGACAGATTCTGGTACCAGAGAAGCGGGGTCACTGCTATGACTACCTGACCATGTGGCTCGGAAGCCTCTGGAACTGGATCACAGGAGGAGTTTGGAAAGATCTGGAGATGCTAACTGGAGAACAGCTCTAGAATCCAAGCCTGTGCGATCCAAGCTTAATGGGAGACCGGTCAGATCTCAGAATGCTGATAAATGGGCAGAGAGTAAAGACCTGGATCGGGTTGTTCCAGGTGGGAACGACTCCATCAACGGTTAGACTCCAGGCCACGTGTGCTATGCTCTGGCAGAAGATTTGTCTGTATTTCGTTCATGCCCTGAAACTTTTTGGGAGACTGAGATTAAGGGTGGAGAACTAATTAATCTGTGGAGGAAATTTCAAGGCAGCTCAGCATTAGGCTGTGGCATGGGTACTGTTGGGGGCTTTTTGCTGAATCTACATTGAGAATCAGGAGCAAAAAGCTCATCTGAGAAATTTTCATTTTCCTCAGAAAGCAAGAGCCTGCTAAGTTTTAGCCAAGGAAAGTGCGGTTGCTGAAAAGATGAAAGAGAAGCCAAGTACTCTGGGTCAGACAAAAGGGAAAGTGGCTTAAGGGCATGTCAGGAACCAGCAAGGCCCCACTCTTCCCAGGTGCAAAACTGCAAAGGGGAAAGACTTTATTAAGAGAAGAGAGCCCCAGGGCACCA